TTGTTTAAAATATACTGTTGTTACCAATTAAATAAAAACAAATGTATTTGAAAAATTACACTGGGCGACACTGTAATGACATTTCAGGTGGTCTACTTTTTAATTCAGCAAGAATTATTAATTATTGTTAATTCTGCAATAGTTTCTTTTGTCTTGGGTGGCCCAACTGACGGCGTAGAAAGTCTGTGTAGTTGTACAATGAAAATGGAAGTCCCCCCAAAATATTTGATAATTATTTTTTGAAATTTTGAACCCCAAATAAGCGCCCACCAGCCGTGAAATCCCAAGGGCGATTTTTCGGATGGGCGAATTTACGACAGAATCTGGTATTATATAAAAAAAAAAGTATTATTATGGACATCTCGCGCATATTGCCGATTTTTTGTACTGTTTGTAGTTTGAAAGTGTTTTTTGATGCCCCTCCTATTATTCGACGTCGTTGACAATGCGATAACAATGCCACTCGCACTGTGCACATTTTAGCACTAGATCTAGTGCCATTTTAGCACTAGATCTAGTGCAATTTTAGCGCTAGATCTAGTGCCATTTTAGCACTAGATCTAGTACTTTTTCGGATTAGTGCTAACTAGCACTAACTACTCGCACTACGCCCATTTCGACACATTTACATACATGGCATTTTGCATTTTGAAAGGTGTCTCATCTAACATGGCACAGTGGGCAATTTGAAAGCTGTCTCTCATCTAACATGGCACAGTGAGCAATTTGAAAAGTGTGCTTCAACTAACATGGCACAGTGTGAAATTTAAAGGGTGTACCTCATCTAACATTGCACAGTGGGCAATTTGAAAGGTGTCCTTCATGTAACATGGCACAGTGGGCAATTTGAAAAGTGTACTTCATCTAACATTGCACAGTGGGCAATTTGAAAAGTGTACCTCATCTAACATGGCGCAGTGGGCAATTTGAAAAGTGTACCTCATCTAACATTGCACTGTGGGCAATTTGAAAGGTGTCCTTCATGTAACATGGCACAGTGGGCAATTTGAAAAGTGTCCTTCATGTAACATTGCACTGTGGGCAATTTGAAAAGTGTACCTCATCTAACATGGCGCAGTGGGCAATTTGAAAGGTGTGCCTCAACTAACATGGCACAGTGGGCAATTTGAAAAGTGTACCTCATCTAACATTGCACTGTGGGCAATTTGAAAAGTGTACCTCATCTAACATGGCGCAGTGGGCAATTTGAAAAGTGTGCCTCAACTAACATGGCACAGTGGGCAATTTGAAAAGTGTGCCTCAACTAACATGGCACAGTGGGCAATTTGAAAGTTGTGCCTCATCTAACATGGCACAGTGGGCAATTTGAAAGGTGTCCTTCATGTAACATTGCACTATGGGCAATTTGAAAAGTGTACCTCATCTAACATGGCGCAGTGGGCAATTTGAAAGGTGTGCCTCAACTAACATGGCACAGTGGGCAATTTGAAAAGTGTACCTCATCTAACATGGCGCAGTGGGCAATTTGAAAGAAGTGCCTCAACTAACATGGCACAGTGGGCAATTTGAAAAGTGTACCTCATCTAACATGGCGCAGTGGGCAATTTGAAAAGTGTACCTCATCTAACATTGCACAGTGGGCAATTTGAAAAGTGTACCGCATCTAACATGGCGCAGTGGGCAATTTGAAAAGTGTACCTCATCTAACATGACGCAGTGGGCAATCTTCAAAGTGTACCTCATGTAACATGGCACAGTGGGCAATTTGAAAGGTGTGCCTCATCTAACATGGCACAGTGGGCAATTTGAAAGGTGTCCTTCATGTAACATGGCACAGTGGGCAATTTGAAAGGTGTCTCTCATGTAACATGGCACAGTGGGCAATGTGAAAAGTGTACCTCATCTAACATGGCGCAGTGGGCAATTTGAAAAGTGTACCTCATCTAACATGGCGCAGTGGGCAATTTGAAAAGTGTACCTCATCTAACATGGCGCAGTGGGCAATTTGAAAAGTGTACCTCATGTAACATGGCACAGTGGGCAATTTGA